GGCCTAATACCCCAAGCTTATACTTTACCCTGTAAAACCTCATGCATCTTGGAGGTGCTCAGAACTTCGGAGCAGAAGCCCCTCTGAGCCCGCCGGCGTAATACATCTGAGTACTCCAACCCTCCCAGTGGTGCTTGTTTCTTGACTGGCCTGTCATTTCCGTAACAAGAAGAGAGGCTTTCACTATTAGAATGACACTAAGCAAGTCACTTTATCTCTCTGCATGGGTGGATTGATTTCTCAAGTCTATAAACCTATGATTAATATATTTTCCTTGTTCACCCTGTCTTCCATATCCAAATCACTAATATAAAAAAGAATCCCTTCCCCCACAAGAAACCCTCAATATTCACTAGTTTCAAATCACTTTTCCATGCTAGGAGGCAGTAGACAGTAAAAGATTTCTGGTTGAATAAACACATCTTTGCAAAATATAGAAACATTATTTACTACAATGAATGTATCTGTACTGTTTTAGAATTCTTAAACAGCCACCCCCTCCCAACAGTTTAAAGAGAATGCTTCCATTTCAACAGTTCAGATGCTTTTCATTTTAACTCTAGCATTAAGGCCAGTTTCAGCACTTTGTCTTCTTTGTGTGGGTCTGTGTTCTGGTTTCTGCTCCAGTAACAGTGTTTGTCTGCAGGAAAAGGAAACTCTCATGGTGGTTGCTGCTTGTAATTTTAGTCTTAATATTCTGGGGAAGATTTTAGATTTGCTTTTGAGTCACAACTCCTATTTCTAATTTCTCTTTAGACATTAAAACAAAAACAAAAACCCAGCAGAGGACTTGCCAGCATATTTTCCTTATTAAGACAGTAGCCATAAGAATGCAATTCCTCTGTAAATCCTTTCTTATGGGAAACAGGGATCTTGTTCATTATTTAAAGAAATCATTGTGAATTCAAGCCATTTCCTATCCTGCTGTCATTTGCTCAAAGACCTTTTGCAATGGGTCTTATGTTAGAAGAAATGCAGGAGTTGCTTTGGTGAGGTTTATTTAAAGAAACCATTAAATCAAGTTAGACCTGAATTGAGCATCATTTGTATGGGGAAACAGGGGCTATAAATGCATCTGTATTTTTTTCAGCTTGACAGAAAGAGGGCTAATGATGAATAAAAAAGGCCCTACACAGCTGGGTCACAGGCTGCTTCTTTGGCCTCATCTCTGACCACTGCCCCTTCCTTCACTGTCCTCCAGCCACAGTGACCTCTTTCCCGGTCCTTGAACTTGCCAAGCACATTCCCTTCTCAGGTCTTTGCCTTTGCTAGTGTTTCTGCATGAAACTCTTTTCCTGGATAGCCACAGGGCTGGCTAATTCTCATCCTTCAGATCTCTGCTCAAATGTGAGTTACTCTGGGAGGTCTTTCCTGGCCATCCTAGCTAAAAGCACAACACCTCCTTACTCCTGCTCCTTTAATTTGTATTATTTTTTCTAGTGGCAGTTACACACTGGTACATTATACACTTCGGGCATTTTTGTCGCTGTATCAGAACACAAGCTCAAGTAGGGCAAGGAGTATGCGGGTCGTGTTCACATAGCATCCTTGGGGGTCCTACAGCCTGGCACACAGTAGGTGCTCCGTAAATATTTCTTGAATTAATGAATGACGCACTTTGGGATGGTGGAAGTTATTTCTCTTTATTTGCCAGACCTTGGCGCCAATCCGCAGGCATCTGGGCACCTCATTCTACCCTCACCCCTTTCCAGATTGGAATCGGCGCTCGGGATTGCACTGGCACTAAACGGTGCGTGTAAATGCGTTGCCCCAACCCTCGGCGCCACTTCCCTCGGCCCAGCGGCCTTGACTGGGAGGGACAGGTTTCCTGCATACGGAACACAAAAGCAGAAAGAAGACGACACAGCGCAGGAGGGGAAAGTCTCCGTGCCGCGCCAGGTTGTGCGCAGGGGGCGCCTTCCCGGCCGGGCTGACTCATTCCCAGCCGCCTCCACGGCGGGCTACGGCTACGCGCACGCCCGTCTGCGGAGGGCCGGGCCGGGCCCAGCGCCGGCACCGAGCTCTTGCGAGCCCCAGGACCCTGTTAGCCCGTCCAGCTCAAGTTGTCCGCGTGTTCACGCCCAGGGACCACCGCGAAAGCCTCCGCGGCCGCCCGCTCGCTTCCCGAGATGCCACGGTCTAGGGTAACCAACCCCCGCCAGCTGCCCGGCGCACGCCGTGAGAAGCGCCACCTGGGCGGAGCGGCGCACGCGCGCA